GGGAAAAAGGGACACGCTTTGCTGCTGCATGCCAGGCCTTGTCTGATCGGACTGCCGATATTGTCGGTGTGTTCACGATCGGGCGCATTCGCCCACATGGTTGCCCGTCTTTCGGGGGGACGTAAGACTCGGGTACGGGGGACTCGGGTTGGCCTGACGAGGCCATCATAACAATGACGAGGCCCAATCTATAATTTGACGCGAGCTCCCGCTGCAGACATCCCACTAAAACTGAACCGTCAGAATCCAAGGCGCGCTCGTCAAAACGTTGGCACACCCGAGTTCTGGCTCACTCGAGTCTTACGTTTCCCCGATTATTCCATGTCTGTTGCATGCACTGTTTTTTGTCACCCCTTCCCTTCTTGGACCCTCCTCTTTAGAGGCAGGCCGATCCGTGCTTCATGATGCGTCCCTTCTCTCATACATACATCCTCCCTGTCGCACCCCCAGACGAGTCAGTAGGGCGGGCCGGGCGTTTCCCCTGAGGCCTCCTCAGCATATATGAGTCTCGAGCTTGAAGATTGCAACAGCTTCCCCGATAGAGGGCGGATGGTTTTTCAAGTGCGGCTGACGCCTTAGGGCCGCACTGATTCGTCGCACACGTTTGCAACGATTTTTCAGAGATGGGGGGTGAGTCCTTTTCAAAATGCAACTCTCGCCTCAGCGCCACGCACATTCGTCTTAAAAAATGTACTGGATCTTCGAGGATGCTGGGCACTTCCTTTTCAACATGTGACTCTCGCCTTGGCGCCGAGCACATTCGTGTTTGCAACGTCAATTATGGAGAGCACGTACTTTCAAAGTGTAACCCTCGTCTTACCGCCACAATTACGCGTCTTCCAAATTTACTGAAGCTTCCAGGATGCAGGACAATTCCGTTCCAACATGTGACTCTCGCCTTTAGCGCCGCGCACAGTCGTCTTAAAAGTTTGCAACGTTTCCAGTAGTGCAGAGCGAGCCCGTTTCAAAATGCAGCTCTCGCCTCAGCGCCACGCACATTCGTCTTACAGGTGTGTAATAGCTGCAAGGATGAAAGGCGGTCGTTCTCAAAGTGTGGCTCTAGCCCAGGCGCCGAGCACATTCGCCGCACAAGTTTGCCACAACCTCGAGCATGGAGGGTGGCTCCTTGTCAAAAATGTAAGTATCGCCTTAGGGCCGCGCACATTCGTCTTCAAAACTTACTGAAAATTCAGGATGCAGGCCACTTCCGTTTCAACATGTGGCTCTCGCCTTAGCGCCGCGCACAGTCGTCTTACAGCTTCAAAGAGGGAGGGCGGGTCGTTTGCAAAATGAGGCTCTTGCCTTGGCGCCGAGCACATTCGTGTAAAAAAGTCCGCAATGCCTCAAAAATGTTGCTCTCGCCTCAGCGCCGCACACATCCGTCTAAAAAGATTGCAGGGGGGGGGGGGGTCGAAAATGGCTGCGGTTATGATGGTTGTCTAACATGGTGTAAGACTACCAGGGCGCAAGAGCCACGCGCGGTGTTGAAGTCCCAGGAATGGCGTTCTGGAACGAGTTGGGACTGCCAGGACCCATACGTCACGTTGATTCGCGGCGTTGATGTTCCATGAATCCCACCAGCCCTGTGGGCTAAGGTGGTCTAACGAATTCTTAATTTCCCCGTCCAAAGGACCTGTTCCTTTCCGGGAGGTTTAGCTCGCCCCACCTCCCTGTGTTTTGCGGGGGGCGCGATCGTTCAGAGCGCCCAACATGGCCCAAGATGGCTCCAGGAGGGCCTCCGATGCTCTAAGATGGCCTCCAAGATTGGTCAAGATAGCAGACGATGGTTCAATATAGCTTCCGAAATACTTCTAAGAGGCCCGACGAGAGCCACAAGACGGTTCCACGTGCTCTCGGAGCTCCCTCAGGACCCCTTAAGAAGCCAAAGGCCTGCAAAACGAAAGGAAAATCGATGATGTGTGTCTCCTCGCCGTTTCGTTTTCGATGCACTTTAGAGGCCTCGATATGGCCCAACTAATTCCCAAGCGAGGCCCGAGAAGGGCCCTAGAGGCCCCCCAGACGGCCCCAAGAGCGCCCAAGAGCGCCCCAAGAGGCGACTCCCACGGCCCGAGAGGAGGGCGGGGGGGGGGAGGCAAATCGGGGACCCCCCCTCTTGTGATCGATAGCCTCCAAGATGGCCCCAAGACCGACCATGGTCCTCAAGGCACACCCAAGTGGGCCCCAAAAGAGTCCCAGGAGGGCCCCAAGACGCCCCCAAAAACGCCCCAAGAGGACCCTAAGATTCCCCAAAAGAGTCCAAAGAGGGCTCCAAGAGGAGATTTTGAGGGCTCTGTCCTCGTCCTCTTTGTCCTCCTTCTCCTCCTTGCTCCGAGCCTTCCAATGGGGCACCTCCCGAAATGAGAAATATTTCTTGCAGGGTCGTATGAAGGGGGAGCTTGGAGGGACCGATTACTGCAGCATCGCTGGTGCGTCCCAGGTTCACACTAGCACTCCTCCTCCACCCCCTCCTCCTCCTCCTCGAGGAGGAGGAGGAGGACGAGGAGGAGGAGGAGCAGGAGGAGGGGGAGGAGCAGGAGGAGGAGAAGGAGGAGGAGGAGGAGAAGGAGGAGGAGGAGGAGGAGGAGGAGGAGAGGGGGAGGAGCAGGAGGAGGAGGAGCAGGAGGCAGAGGGAGGAGAGAGGAGGAGAAGGAGGAGGAGGAGGACAAGGAGGAGAAGGTGGAGGATTAGCAAGCAAGCGCGGTCCAAGCGCTGCCTTGCGCCTTCCGTGACGTGGGCCACTGCGGATGCCGCCCGCCGCGCACCGGCGACACGCTCTAAAAGGCGCTCCTCGTGCGTGCCGCGCCTGCCTGTGATACTGAAGGGCTGACAGTGCCAGTCCTCAGCCTGGCGATGTGCGGCCTGGCGGTGCCGCTCTTCAGTTCAGCTTCCTCTAGTTCGCGCTCCTGCATCGTCGCCAGCTCCGGAGCCAGAGCCGCCTGAGCGCTCTCGTCGTCTTGTTCCTCCCACTGGCAAGGGTAAGGGCACGGGCACGCACGTAGAGAAGGATGTCCGCTTCGACCCTTGGGCTGCAGCCGCAGATGCTCCCAACGGCGTCAAGAGCACGGGCGCCGGTGTGTTTCGCGGAGTTTCTCGTGGTACACATTCTCATGATCCTCCTTCGGAGCCTTCCTTCTGCTACGAGGACACGGTGTCGATCAACTGGGCGTCTGGTACCACATCGGCACACCCAAAATCTGAGCTGGCCGCAGACTTGCCGAAACGTGGATGCATTGCGGCGATGTGTCCTGATGATGACGATGCATATATGTGAATTCCCACCCACTTGCGCACTTCGTGCTTTGTACTTGTTCAAGCTTTATGCTTCGTTGCAAAATCTGCCAGGGCAATGATATGGTCGTACCTGATCTTGCTCCCGTCATCACGCGTGATGCTGAATGTTACCAGTTTTGCTCATCACTTACAAACACGGTGTGCGCTCCTACCTCCACTTGCATACCGACTACGCTACCGAATAGTGTGAATGAGAATTACACGTGCCAACGGCTTCTTGTACAATGACGTTTCGACCTTTCTTCTAAATGTCCCCAACGCCTGTTCTGACGCCAGCACCATGTTTGTGTGGTTTGTGTCTTCCACACCCTCGTCATAAGTTCTGTGTTCCTACTCTTCGACGCCTGCTGCGACCCCCGCTCCGACGCCCGGTCTGGCCCAGTGTCGAACAACTGGGTGTCTTGCACCATATCGGCACACCCTATGATGGGCCTGTTTTCCACTGGAGGACGAGGAGGAGGAGGAAGAAGAGGAGGAGGAGGAGGTGGTGGAGGAGGAGGACGAGGACGAGGAGGAGGAGGACCCTCCCCCTCCAACTTCTGGTGGTGGTGGAAAACAGGCCCATCACCCTCAGTCTGAGTTGGCCACAGACTTGCGGCGGTGTCCTGATGAGGGGAATGCCTGTGCGTAAGTTCCCACCAACATATACACTTCGTGTTTTATGAGAGAGCGTGATCCACCGCCGCTTCACTGTGGAAAATTGCCAGCCTTTTCCTCCGGAACCCGGGGGTCGCCCCCCCCCCTCCGAAAAATCCACCCCCCCCACCTGCTGGAACCCCCCCCCCCCCCTCCCCGACCCCCCCCCTCCCCCGGC